TTCACTTTCGCAATGACCGTGCACAGATTGGTTGGATTACAACATGCATTGACATCCTGGACAAAGGTAAGGTTCCTATTCTCTTTTCAGTTGAGCAAATGCGGAACCTTCGTATGAACAGTGAACACACTCCTGTAGGTGAGTTTATGACTTGTCCACTTTTCGGAATGCAACGCACCGCATTGGCGGTCAGCACATCCAACCATCCAGTCCTTGACATTGTGGCTCTTGCTACTTCCAGTTGGAAACCGATGTACAGCTTTCAGTCCGAAGACATCACATGCCCAGCATGCAATGGTAAACATCATCCACACACAAACAAAGAAGGTTGCAAGAGATTCAAGGGATCAGAACAAAAATCAGCACGAGTGCCGAAACCGGCCAAGTCTGATTCCAAGAAAAATGTCAAGAAGGTAATTCAGCCTGATACCAAGTTAGATATACCAGTTCAGCCTTTTGCCTGTTTTGATATTTACGGACGGAGCTAGTGAAGGCGATATCAATACTATTGGAGGGTTGCTTTTCGCTGATGGTGGCTTCCGTTACTTCTCTTGCCATGTCCCTGCGGGCATGATCGGAACCTGGAAGTCATCATCTTAACACGTCATAGCGATCGTGGAGCTTTACAGTGTCATAGTTGCCAGGTTTGTTTGGAACAGATACCTGATGGGCCGCAAGGCCATTGCCTTTGTTGACAACGAGTCGGCCAAGGAAGCCTTGGTCAAGGGTTCTTCCTTCAATGCACACTTTAAGACTTTGCTTTTACAGCTGGAAATTGCGGAGAAAGACATGAGGTCGTGGCTTTGGTTCTCAAGGGTTCCCAGTCACTCCAACCCTAGTGACGGCCCCTCAAGGGGTGACTCGTCTCTTATGGAGATTCTTGGAGCTTTCCGAGCTGTGCACTTGAGGACATTTGAAGCCGTACCTTGGGGTTTCGTTGTCAAGAGTCAAAAGTTAGGACCTGTGTGTAAGTGGGGTTGATGTGGGATCCAAACTTTTCGATGCAGATGGAAACATACAAATGGCATGTGTCATTTACAGGATGAGTGCAACTTGTGCACACTGGTCTTTTTTAGATCACCATTGGATACGACACGTTCGATTTCCCCACGTGAAGAAAAAGTGTGAAAGCCGTCGCATTCATGTTTGTTTCAGTGATGTCCATTGTTGTTTTGTGTTGCATGTTTCGTTTTTTCAGATTGATGTTTTTGGCGAATGCGCGTGCGTATCCGAAAGATATTTGATATATATATATATGTATATGAGTGTTTATATGTATATATATCCTGTTTAGAACTATAAGGGTGTTCCCCCCCATTTGTGGTTCCCTGTAGTAGGAACGAATTACTTGGTTTTGGATATGTGAATATCCTCAATTGGTGCTTTGAGTTTGGCTTGCCCCAAAAGATTAATTGTGCAAGGCACCATTTCCTTTTGGGGTTAAAGCAGCGGAACTGTGTGTAGCGCCAAACGAAGAAAAAGAAGAAAACGGGGGAACAACCTTTCACTTCATTGTTGATGTTCACAAACAGATGGTTTGTTAATCTTGCGGACAACCTCTTTGAATTTGAAATGTTCACAAACATGTGGTTTGAAAATCTTGGAATGAATCCAACATCTTGAACAGATAAATATGTGTTATGTTTGTATCCGTTTTGGATCATAGGTGGACACGGGGATTGCATGGGGTCTATCCCCCATTACAAAATTCACCCCCCCACCCACACCTGTGGGTAACCTCGGTTACCATTTGAATCCGTGGATTCACAAGGCCTTGGCCACCTGGAGCACTTGGCTCTTAGTGATTCCGAACCGTTTCCGTCCACCTGGGACCTTGGTCATTTGGACCACCTTTTCATTCGTGTCATTTCCCAATATGCAGGGGTGAAGGATCAAAAAAAAATTATTATTGGGATCAAAAAAAATTATTATTTAGGGATCAAAAAAAATTATTATAGGGATCAAAAAATTTTTTGTTAGGATTCATACTAATAGTAATAATAATAATAGTAATAGCAGTAGTAGTAGTAATAGTAGTAGTAATAGTAGTAGTAGTAGTAGTAGTACTAGTAGTAGTAGTAGTAGTAGTAGTAGTAGTAGTACTAGTAGTAGTAGTAGCAGTAAAAATAATAGCAGTAGTAGTACTAATAGTAATAGTCACATGAGTGGTGTCCACAAGATTACTCTATATCTCTCTTGAGCCTTGAGAGCGTATATAAATGTGCTCAATACTCATGCAGTACCCACGTAGGATGCAAGTTAAAGCAAAAACAAGGGCGCAGCGCCTCCCCCCGCAAAGCGTCACATGGTCATGATCGATTCATTCGCAATGTAGGTGGGCCTTATCATCCACCTGTGTGGCGTTGTCACAGCATACAGCGGTAGCAGTAGACGTAGCAGTTGGTGGGCCATACCATCCATCTTTTTGTAGCGACAAAGATGGTGGGCCATATCATCCACCTTTGTGGTTTTGTCACAGCATGGCACCAAAGCACGCATTTGAATTTGACGACAAGTTTGATCACATACGTTGAAACAAAAGGTGGGCCGTGTCATCCACCTTTGTGGCTCTGTCATAGCATTACAGCAAAGCACGCGCTTAGGCTAATTGATTTACTATGGGCGAGGTGGTGTGGCAGCAAAGCACGCACTTGAATTTTGACGACAAATTTGATCACACACGCTTGAAACAGAAGGTGGGCCGTATTATCCACCTTTGAAACAGAAGGTGGGCCGTATCATCCACCTTTCTGGCAATGTCACAAGCTGCGCGGGGGAGGCTTTAAAATAAAAAGGCGGGAGGGGGGCGCGGGGGGAGGGCCCAGCGCCTCCCCCCGCAAAGCGTCACATGGTCATGATACATTCAGTCGCAATGTAGGTGGGCCTTATCATCCACCTTTTGGGGCGGTGTCACAAGCCGCGGGGACGCTTGAAAATAAAAAGCCGGGAGGGGGGCGCGGGGGGAGGGCGCAGGATGCATGTATGTATGTCTGTAGGTCGATCGGCAAGCATGTATGTAGTTCAAATATACGCGTGCAATCTATATATATATATATACATATATTCCTTCCTTTCCTTCCCTGCCCTTCCCTTCCCTTCTCTTTCCTTTCCTTTCCTTCCCTTCCCTTCTCTTTCCTTTCCTTTCCTTTCCTTTTTCCTTTCCTTTCCTTTTTCCTTTCCTTTCCTTTCCTTTCCTTTCCTTCCTTCCCTTGTCCGAAAATATTCTTTTTGATCCTAATAATATTTTTTTTGATCTAGATGCCTCCTTCCTGCCTGCCTGCCTTCCTTCCTTCCTGAATATTTTTTCATTGCAATAATAGTTTTGTTTGCTTGCAATAATAACTATTTTTGACTGCATGTGCAAAGAGAAAGAGAATAGTACAAAAGAAGAAGAGCTGTAGGAGCCATAGAAGCCAAAAGCCACAGGAGCCGAAGGAGCCATAGGAGCCGAAGAAGCCAGAGGAGCCGGAGGAGCAAGACAAGAAGCCAGAAGCCAAAAAGCCACCAGGAGCCACCGGGGACACAGGAGCCGAAGGAGCCACAGAAGCCAGGAGCCGAAGGAGCCAGGAGCCGAAGGAGCCACAGAAAGCAAAAAGCCAGAAGCCAAAAAGCCAAGAAGCCACGAAGCCACCAGGAGCCACCAGGAGCCACCAGGAGCCACAGAAGCCAGGAGCCAAAGGAGCCAGGAGAAAAAAAAAAATCCCCCCCCCGAATTTTTTTTTCCCAAATTAAATTACCCTCCTTTCTTTACTTCAATCTTTCTTCCTTCCTTCCTTCCTTCCTTCCCCCCCTTCCTTCTTTCCTTTACTTACAAACAGTAATATTTTTTTTGATCCTAATAATAGTTTTCTTTTGATCCTAATAATAATTTTTTTTGATCCTAATAATATTTTTTTTGATACCCATCCCATATGCAGTCCGATTTGACGTTGCTTGCCACAGGCATCAGTATCCTCCTCCAGTATCTCAACAGCTCCATGGAAGCAGTCTGATCGTAGCAAGTGGACGCTTCGTGCTACGAGATGCGAGAACATCGAAGAAATCCTCAAAGGATGTTCCATCATCCTTGAATGCTGTGGACAGACCCCATTTTTGAGCAGCATCTACAAACTTTGGCAGATCAGTAGTAATGCAATGTTTCTCTTTGAACAACAATGGTGGCCAGATCAGCCGAATGAAACAGCTCTCAACATTGCAACGCCAACTGTGGCACTCAAATTGTCCGCGCTGTTGCGGCCTGGATGGCGCGAACAACATCACCTCATTCGTCTATCCATGGCTTCTCTGGTCACTCTTCGAGATTGGGTCATGGATTTCTTCGACGAACAGTTACATCGTGAAAGTCTTAGTCTTAGCATCATTCAAGATGCACTCCTGGTGATGCAAACTGCAGTTGATTTATTTGACCTCCATGAAGCTGCACAGGTGCCTGAAGCCCCTGTTGTACCTACTGATGACTTGCCCCTTGAGTCAACAGAGTCAGCCGGGAGTTGAAACTTCGATTTTTTTTTTGGATCACCATTGGATACGACTCGTTCGATGGGGTTGATGTGGGATCCAAACTTTTCGATGCAGATGGAAACATACAAATGGCATGTGTCATTTACAGGATGAGTGCAACTTGTGCACACTGGTCTTTTTTGGATCACCATTGGATACGACACGTTCGATTTCCCCACGTGAAGAAAAAGTGTGAAAGCTGTCGCATTCATGTTTGTTTCAGTGATGTCCATTGTTGTTTTGTGTTGCATGTTTCGTTTTTTTTCAGATTGATGTTTTTGGCGAATGCGCGTGCGTATCCGAAAGATATTTGATATATATATATGAGTGTTTATATGTATATATATCCTGTTTAGAACTATAAGGGTGTTCCCCCCATTTGTGGTTCCCTGTAGTAGGAACGAATTACTAGGTTTTGGATATGTGAATATCCTCAATTGGTGCTTTGAGTTTGGCTTGCCCCAAAATTATGTTGTTTGGTTGGATTACACATAAATGACATGCTGATTAGTGTCAATGCTCACAATGCCTGCTACAATACAGCCAAGAAGCAGTTGCGTGAAAAGTTCAATTTCAAACACTGGACTCACATCGACGAACGTGAGAAGCTTGATTTTTGTGGATGTTCGTTTGTGAAAACCTCCTATGGCTATCAACTTGGACAGCCTGACTACTTTAGCAAGATCAAGCCCATCATGATCGACCCGAAGCGTCGAGACTCTGCAATGGCCGCACAGAATGAGGTTAGTGCACTACGTGCGGTGCTTGGAGCACTTCACTGGCCCAGCACTCAAAATGCACCTCAACTAGGTGCAACAGTTGCTACAACTGAAGATTTGCGTGATGCAAACAAAGCTCTGAAATTTTCCAAAGTGAACAACGATGTTGGACTCCAATTTCGCCCACTTGGTCAGATTTCAGATATGGTTTTGGTTGCAATGAGCGATGTCTCTTGGGGAATTCGACGTGAAGGCCACAGCCAAGGTGGTTACCTTCTCATGCTTGCTCCAAAAGAAATCCTGGATGGTGAAACCACCAACTACATCATTTTGGATTGGAGAAGTTTTCGTTTGCCCAGGGTGTCCCGAAGCTCTTTGAACGCTGAATCTCAAGCATGCGCAGCTGCAATGGATAGTTTGGAATATACCCGAACACTGATCCAAGGAAGTCTCAACGCTGACTACACTCTGCAGTCTCCTGGTGAATGGGTGATCAGCAAAACAGCTTTAGTGGTTGATGCAAAAGCTTTGTACGATTCAATTCGTGCAGAAGTTCCTCAGCTTTCAGGTGACAAACGAACCAAGATTGAGGTGATGATTGTGAAAGAAAAGATGCAAGAGTGCCAAACACTTTTGCGATGGGTTTCAAGTGAAGCACAGTATGCTGATGGCATGACCAAACCCTCAGCACGTCAGTTGCTCACTGACCGCCTTCGAACGCACATGTTCAAATTGCAAGCAGATGAAAATTTTGTTGCAGCAAAGAAGAAAACTCAACAACAAAGAGAAGCAAATGCCCGCAAGTTTGCCCTCTCAAAAGCCGCTAGCAAGGTAGGTGGTTTAGCCCATTTGATCTTCATCTCCCACATCATGCCTGTTACAGGTTCCTTCGTTTCCGATGATGCCTCATGGTCCGACGATGCAATGCCCCTCATAGTGACTATGGTGATGTCTTTCCTCACTGGATGCTTTTGTGTTTGGATGCTGCTGGGATTTCCGAAAGTTTTCCAACATGCAGAACCAAAGCGCCTGGCCTTTCGCCTTCCCAAGCGCGACAAGAGTGTGCAATGTGAAATGGAGTATGAGGCGATGTCATACATATCCTACCAGCTCCACATCGAGAAGGAGGACAAGGCAAGATTGGAAGATAGCTTCGAAAGAGAAATCGAAACTCTGGAAAGCTATGCGCAGGTGATGAAAGATACAAGCGAAACAAACAAAAAGGATGCTGAAAGGTTCTGAAGTGAACTCAAAGCCTTGAAACCGCAACTTCAAGATGTTGAGAACTCATTGACCGCAAAGATTCAGGATCCAGTGATTGAACTGGAACGCCAGATCTACCAGGTTCAAGATACACTGGATCGAGCAAATCAAACCAATGCCAACATGCGCGAGTTCCGCGACCACGAGCTGGAATTCAGAAGAGAGGTCTTTGCTCTCCACAAGGCGAACCACTTTCATGTTTTCGATGACTGCCCAATTCTCGCGCCTCCTGTGACTATGTACGTCTGCAAGGAATGCGAAGAACGCCGTGAGAAGGAGAACGCCGAGATGGATCAATATCAGCACGGTTGGTGCTGAGTGGACTGGAATAATTCCCATTCAGAATGGATGGACTGGAACATTTCCCATCCGAAAGCCTGTTTGGATGGACTGGAAGTTTTTCCATCCTACACTTTACAACAGTTTGCAGAATACAGTTTTTACATATGCCCGGCAGACTGGAATTTTCCTGCCGATGAATGCAATGCAATTTTCCATATGCAACAGCTGACTAAAACTTTTTATGCCGACAACTACTGGCAGAATTGGATTTTTGCAGCTGGAACAATGAAGCAATGGTTGCAAGCTTCAGTGCTTGTTTTTGACCAACTCTTTTCCTCCAATGTGAATTTGACGCCGTCAACTTGATTTGGATGACATGCACAAAGAACATTTGCCGCCTTTGTCGCCACCATTTGGATCAATCCGGCCAACAGGGCCCCTGAGCTTGCCCCTCATGAAAACAACTGTGGGACTTTCGGTGCCTGCACGTGTTTCCCCCGAAAGGACATCCAACTTAGTGTGTGGTTTGTCGGTTGGTTTAGTGTTTTACCCCAACTCTCATAATTATTGTATCGAAACTCCTTTAGTGTGACCGGGCACCATCGCAAACATCAAAGGCGACGAAAAAATTCTTTCAGCAATATTGATGGTCATGTTTCGGCTGTAATTTGATTCACTTACGTGTACATATTTTGGATGTTTCTTAGCCGCAATCCACGATGTGTTTTCCAAATTCATGTCAGGCCGGTTTTGAACCTTGGACCTCCGCACTTAGCCTTGGAGTTGCGCATTCCAGGGCATTGCCACATGAATTGCTGAAATTGGCACTTGTGTTAAACACATTGACAAAAAATGGAAACAAAATTATTTGTTGGTTTGACCTTAGGAAAATTGCACAAACCCTCAACACTAGAATTCCACCACTATTTGTATTGACACTACTGTGGTTTCAATTGAACATATGTTTTTTTAATGAACCCACGCAAACAAACAAATTCATGTTGTCCATTGGAACATGGTTCGCTATGATCCAACCGGCGTGGCAAATTATTGCCGAATGTGAAATCCAAAAAGAGGACCCTTGGGACTATGTCAATGATGGTGCGTTGCACTGGTTTGAGAAGTGGTTGTCGATTGTGAATGTAATTAATGATTTTGCTGCACACAGTTTGAGCTGGTTTGATGTGTTTTTGATTTGTTTGATGTGTTTTGTTATGTTATGTTCAACGAACGCGTTGGTACTGTACATTATAAGCGGGATTGGAAAAAATCAATGTTGTTGTTGCTTAGTTGGCAAGGTGTGCAAAATTTAAATCGGCAATGGACAAATAATACGTTTTGCCAGTGGGAAAACAGTATTTAGTTTTGCTTCCGCAGCTTGTGTACTTCGACGAAATCTGAGCGGATAACCATGGCCGAACTTTTGACGCGAATAAAATGACAAAGACAACACATTTTTGGGCACCGAACCGATGTATGATGTATGCTATTTAGCATGGATGGATCATCATATTTACTGTTCAATATGGAAATATTGGATTTATTGCATTCATGATTGGGATAATCTATGAATGGCCAACACAGACCAAAAACTGTTGTCATTGTCAAACATGGGCCAAATGTCATTTTGGCCATTGCGGGCATTGCGCAAAATGTGCGTTTTTGCACCACAAAGTCGAAGGCGGTCCTGGGCATTTTTTTGCTTTTGTTGTGAAGTCTCTATTGTACATGGCAGTATGTTCCACTTTCTCAAATCAATGGTGTCCTTTCTGTTCTTTCTTAGATGTCAGCTGGGCAGCATTAATATCGAATAAATTGTGTAGTCTCACTTTGCACGGGCGCTATGATTATGGAGGCACCTTGGTCGTTCATCAAATGTCAGTCACCCAGATGGTGTTGTTGTTGAATCAGCAAATTTGATCCATTGTGAAGATGACACCTTTGCTTCAGGATGATGTATTTCGGCGCGTCAGTTCCCTGGAATTTTTCATCAAAACTATACAGTAATTGAGTGGCAGTTTTCCACGGAACATGTTTACCAAGAAATCGGAAAATGCAGAAAACAATCACAATTTTTGTTTGAGGTGTTTCCAAGGAACGGTTTTTCTATTCATTCAATTCGTTTTTGGTAAACGACAAGGTGGATAAACTAAATTCGCAACGCTGAAGGTTAATTGACAATTGTTGTGAGAGGCTGAGGGGCAAAAATTGAAGGGTTCAGTAGTAGATTGAACATTTCAAAACTTTATAATGCGAAATGACATCCAATTCTAGTGTTGTGATTACATAGCTGACAATTGAAATGCCAAAGATCCCACCTGACCTTCACATGTGAGTTGTCATGTTTAGTTTGTTTTTGGGTCAAATCCTTGACCCGAAACGGGATGAGGAACCATGGCCAGAGTGGCTGCAATGGTTCATTGATGCAATCTTTGCTCGCTCGTGCTGCATTTGGCTCATCCAACAAGGGTGTGGTTCCGGCTTTTTAGCTGGGACGCACCTGCAACATGCAGTCCCGCCCTTGGAATTTTTATGGACAGTTCATGTAAACGTCCGTATATCAACCTTCGGACGGTTCGTGTGAATATCAAACTGCGGGCTGTTAGTGCTTTCAGTGGGATCCTCTTGCCGCACAGGTTGGGGAATAAAGTCCTTTCACCTGTCCCACACGCACCTCAACGGATGCATGGTTCACAGGCCAGACCTGATGCGTGCTTGTGTTTGCTCAGTTTGCACTCCGTAACAAATTAAGAAAACATTTGAGGTGAATTGATTGCATTTTCTGTTGCTCCCGGCTGTACACTTACAACATCCTGGAGGCAGGTCACGGCCACGGCCACGGCCACGGCCACGGTAGGGCAACGTGCACTCCTCAGTGGTCCAAGACCAGTTCTCACTTGTGACACATAGGCCACACTATCAAAGCTGACAACTCTCTGGGACACTGGGAATCTGACTGATGTAAACTGATGTAACAGAATCTTGCTTTGATCATGAAGTCGCTCACAGGCTTCGAACGCAGCCAACGACCATCTCCAAGATTGGTGCGCTTGATGGCTTGGTCATGGATTGCAGCTGGAGACATGGTGTTTCCCCCTGGCGATTTTGACAGTAACAGCCAAGTGAATCCGACATGCAGACACGGGCCAGGTCAAAGACAGTCACAGACTCAGACTTGTGCAGTGCACATCTGCTTAAACTTTGGGCAATTCTAGCTAGGGGCTCAGTAGCAGTTGCAGCAGGTCTTTTGATGTGGACTGAGGCAGAAGCCCACTTGGATACATCCAACTTTCGTCTCAACCCAAGCCGGCTGTGATCTTGCAAAACTGAACACTACTACTAATCCCCTGTTAGATTCCCCTTTAGTGGACTTGGTAGTGGTGTTAAAATTTGGTTCCTTCAACAATCTTAGTTCACCTCCACTACCAATCCCCTGCAAACCGCGACTTGAACTCAGTTGAAAATCACCCGCTCCATCGTGGAGCACAGATTGTTCTCCCTACTAACAGCTCTCCTCACTGCCAGGGCCCAAGTTGCCAGTGAATCCCTCCTATGTATATTATATATACATATATATGAAATCAAGGACTCAACCTGAAATTTGTGGGGCTCAAGCCTCATGCACCTTAGCGCGGTCTTAGGCCTGGTTGCTGAGGGTTTGACCTCGAACTTTTGGGGATTGGGCTGCCCTTTGTATTGCACCCAGCCTTCCTACGGGTTACTTGGTTTCTCCCTCCTTCTTGGCTGGCTTGTCGGGTTTCTGTGCTGCGTGCTCCTGGTCTGGTGGATTTCAACTCTTGGCCTTGTGTCTGTTGGATTTTCACCCTCCTACTCCAGGTCCACTGTTCTGTCCACTCGTGCCCGGTTGCTTGCCTCCTACCTGCATGAGCCGAGGGCCTTCCAACGACCCCGGGACTCTTGAACTGTCGGTCTCCCTTGCAGGTGGCGTGAAGGTCACCATCACTGCCCCTTCGTCTGCAGCTGTGCTGGCTTCTCAGGTTCTCAACCACGTCGCTGCTTTCCAGCCTGAGTCTTCTGACCCTTCTGAGTTTGAGTTGGTCTCCGGTGGTTCTGTGTCCCCGACCCGGTCTGTCCCTGTCAGGGTCCCTGAAACCCGTGATCAAGTGCGGCGTTCTCTTCTGCCTTGCCCTGGCCACCTTTTTGGACTTAGCTCCCGTCTGTGTGGATCTTCCTTGTCTGGGCGTGCAAGAATTGAACGTGCTTGGACTTGTGGACAGTGGGCGGCAGCTGTGCAAGCCTCTCGCATTCACAGCCCAGATAGGACTCCAGCCATTGATCTCAGAAACAGGTACTACGCAGTGCTCCGGGCCCCTGGACTTTCTGTGCCCACCATCTTTCAGTCATCGGCAGGCTATTGGGCTTGCATCCGCTCACTCGAGGACTCTGACGCCATTTCTCAGGCATTCCCGAGCGAGACCGAGGCAAAGATCTACCTGCAAGCTGCAGGAGTTGTGGACCCAACCATTGCCCCTTGAGCTGAACAATGGAGGCTTCAACAGAGCTTACGTTGGAAAGCTTGGTGACACTCTCTCAAGATGTGGAGCCCTATGTGATGGACTGGCCAGTCATTGCCGACGACGATGAGCCAGAGGCAGCAATTTTGGTGGTTTCAAAGCGCCCTGGAGGTTTTCTTGCAGCAGTTCCCACAGGTCTGGTTCCCGAAGAGGTATTGGCCGCTGGAAACGAATTGAACCCACCAGGTGTTGTCGGGCCATCTACAGTTTTGGTTGTTCCTGGAGTCATGTTCGAGCAAGGACAGCTGGTCGCAGCCGACTCTTCCCTGCCGGTCGTGGTAGTCGATCTTGGCACAGGGGCGCTGGCGCATCTTCGTGCCACCAGGGAGTCCGAGAATTACCCCTTTTCCTACGATGCAGAGCAGCCTTTTGTTTTTCCAACTCCTCAAGAACTATTAGCAGCAGCTCGGGAGTGGGTTGCAGCAGGAGCCGAGAGTTCAGCCCTTCAGTACTTCTCGGCCGAGGGGGAGGACGACAACATAGCAGATGGGGCTTCAGGCATTGCAGAAGAAGCCTTAACTCCACAGGCAGCTCAGCGAAGAAAGCCCAGGCAGCCTGGGCCAGAGAAGCCTACAGTCAGCGGAAGAAGGCCGACGGTGGCCACCCTGGCTGCATCCATCGAGCAGCTGGTTCAGCTGAATGCAGGATTGACCCAAAGTGTCAACAGCCTAGCACATCGTCAGACGCAGTTGGAGAAGAGAGCCGAGCCTCAGGCACCAGCAGCTCCTGTTCCCAGTGCAGTGCTTCGCCAGCCTATCTCTGCTTCCCTCGGCATACCAGCAGTTACAGCGGGTGCGGTCGCAAAGACTTTGGCTACACCTCCGAGGACCCAGACGGCTTCCGCGTTGGGACTGTTGTCATCGCCACAATTTCAGCCGACAGAGCTTCTGGAATTGCAAGGCGAGAAGAATGTGATGGAGCAGCCTATCCAGTCGGATCATTTGGCTCAGGCAGTTTTGGCACAGTCACAAGCCCTTACTGCGCTGGTGAGTCAGATTGCCCAGAGCTCGGCCGACCCCATGCTGGAGCTCAACACAAGCGGAGCCTCCGCCAGCACCAGAGGCTGTCAAGGAAGAGCCCATCTTCAGAGCGAGTTGGCGGCACAGAGAGGCACCTTCTTCACATCAGTTCTGGCGGCCATGGCACGGAGGATGCATCCTACGGCTTCATCGGAGGGGAGCCCTCAAGAGCTTTTGGATCGGGGCATCTGCGGCAGCCGATACCTCGAAAGGTTTGGGGGCTTTGCAAAGGTGAGGGAGCTGGGATGTTTGCAGCAGCAGGTGATGTCGATCCTGGATTGTCTCCAAGCCTCCAACCTGCAGGCCGCCCGGGACCAAACAGCTTTGTTAGCGGTGGCCATAGACCAGGCCGCCCTGGACCAGGGACGTTTCGAGCTGGCAAATCTTCTCTGTCTTCAGGAGGAGCCACCCTCGACCGTCTTCAGCAACAGACAGATGAACGTCCTGGGCAAGCCTCGGGCCTTCTCCCCCTTAGCCGATCAACGATGGGTCACAGTGGCGTTGGCTTATATAAAAGAACTGGATGTGATCACGACGAAACGCTTGGAGCTCACAAACCAGTCAAGGCACGGTCTGTTCTCAGGTGCCTCGGGTGGAGGAGACGCAGCCAGCTCAAACCCGGCCCCAAAGCAGAAGCCTCAGCCAAAGAAGAAGGGAAAAGGCTCAGGAAGAGGAGGAGGAAGCCAGACTGCAGCGGAAGGGGACGAGGCTTAAGTGAGAGCGGGCCGGAGCCAAACCCTCTCACTCAAACCATCAGTTTCAGCCAGTGGGCGATGTGCTTGCCTCGCTGGATTTTGAGGTCTCGCACAAAGTTTGCCTTTTGCCTCGCTCGTTCATTTGCTGCCAAGCGCCGTTCATCCGAAACGGCTTCCGCAGTTTTTCCACTCCCTTTGCCGTCTTTGGACTGTTTTCAAGGAAGTGGCCCGCGTCTCTCCAAGCGTCGGTTGTGGACTTTAGCCAAGACTCGGCTTCTGACAGTTTGGACTTTGGTTTTGGACTTTCTGTTTTTGGGCAGATGGCCAACCTTGGAGGAGTTGCGGAGGTCCCCATCAACTGAGCAGTTGCTTGTGTTCGATAGGCTTTGGACTTCTCTCACTGCGTGTGGTGACGCCTGGGAATCGTTTCCGTTGTGCCCCGGTAGAACCAGCCCTGAGCTCGGCGCTCAGTTGTTCCAAGTTGAAAACTTTCTCAAAGCATGCCCAGAGATCGTTGATGGTTACCTTGCTGCTGACCGTCTTAAGTTCCATGTTGATCCGGGTTTGTGCAATGTGGAGCAGCACCCTGAGCTGGCTCCGTATCGGTCCCTTGATGCCTCCAGACTCAAACTGACTGGTGAGGGTGTATGGCCAATGGAGAAGTACCTTGACGGTGTCCTCTGGTTGCCTTACCAGGAGCCTGCCTTTCTCTGTCATGGACTTGCTGTTCCGGTTGAGGACACCCCCAACTTCAAGGCTGAGAAACCCGAGGAATGTCTCAAGCTTGCTCTCTTGTGGGACGTCCGAGGTTTGCTTTTCTTGGCTGACTCCCCCCTGTGGCCTGGGTATTTCTCCAGGGTTTTCAATGCCTATAAATCCCCAGACAAAGACAGACAGATCGGCGACCGGCGTTTGCCAAACATGTCGGAGTATCATGTCAATGGCCCTTCAAAGTTCCTTCCTCAAGGGCAGCAGCTTGTTATGTTGCGACTTCCGAGGTTCACTCACTGCTTGCGGGGCTCCGTCACTGACCGTCGTGACTTTTACCATCAGGCTGCTGTCACCCCTGAACGAGCCAGAACAAACATGTTGCCTTTTGCATTCCCGGTTTCTGAGTTTGCAGGTACCAGAGCATGGACTTCTTTTCAGGATGGATTTGCTAAGGTTCCCAAGCACCGTGAAGCTGTTGGAGATAACCTCAAAGGTAGGCCAGCCAAACCTTGTGGACTTTTGCCTCCTGCCGTTTTCCCCTGCTTCCGTTCCCTCTTCCAGGGTGATCACCTTGGTGTTGAGTTTGCCTTGCGGAGCCATGAAGTCCTGTTGGAGTCCTATGGTTTGCTGGGGTTGCGGTCGAGGGTTCAAGGGCATTGCAACTTTCCGGTTTCCTGTCACTGGGATGCCCTTGTGATCGATGACTACTTCTCCATCAGTGCTCAGCCATTGAATTGCCCTGCCTCCGAGAGTCTCTCCGCCCGTAGCCTTGAAGTTGCCAGACATGCCTATAAAGTCGAAGCCCTCCAGGGTTCACCTGAAAAAGACATTGTTGCTGAAACGTCCTTCAAGGCAGCTGGAGCTGAGGTGCGCTCCCCACAGAAGAATGTCAGGCTTGGATTTGTGCCTGTTGGTGCTCCGTTGGCCAAGCGCCTCGCGCTGTCTGTTCTGTCCTTGCGTGCTGCTTGCCTTCCTGGACTTTCTGCTGGCGTTGCAACTAGGCTAGCGGGCAACTGGGTTTCGGTTTTGCAGTTCCGGAAATGTTGGTCTTCCTTGATTGACAGTTTCTTTCGTTTCTCAGCTGAATGCCAAAAAGAGGTCGACGCTGTCCTTGCGCTTGGTCGCTGTGTTGCCCAGGAGTTGGTCTTGCTTGCCACTGTTGCCCGCTCATTGTGAGCAATGTTGCTGTTGATTACCTCCCAGAGTTCTTCGCAACAGATGCTTCAAATCACAAAGGTGCGGTTGTGAAAGCCCCCCTGGACTTGCGTTGCCAAGAGGCCTTGTGGCTTGATGCTGACAAGCGGGGAAGCTACACCCAGCTTGACCATCCCTTTCGCTCTTTGTTGCGTCAGCTTGGTGAGTATGATCAGGATGAACCGTCTGAGGTTTTGCATGCCGATGAGGGCCCCTGGAAAGCTCCCCTCTTGTACTTTGACTTCGTTGAGATCTGTGGGGGGGCAGGAAAGGTTGCTGATGCGCTGAGTGACATGGGCTTTGTATGTGCACCAAACCTGGACTTGTCTGAGTCAAGACACTATGATCTCACCTCACTCAGGCTGCTGGAGTGGATCATCTACATGATCGAGGAGAAGAGGTTCAAGAGTTTCCTCATCGAGCCGCCTTGCACGAGCTTCTCGCCAGCAGCACACCCCGCTGTCAGGTCATACCGCGAGCCACTTGGTTTTGACAGAAAACACCCAAAGACTCTGCACGGCAACATCCTTGCCTTCCGGTCCCTGGTGATTTTGAGGGTAGGTAGGAGGTGCCGCACTCCATGTGGACTTGAACAGAGTAGGCTTTCCAAGATGGCCTGGTTGCAAGCTTGGATTTCCTTGAGACTCAAAGGGTTTGCCGAGGCTGTCATAGCTTCCTGTCGTTTCGGCTGCATCCATCGGAAGGAGTTTCGTTTCTTGTGCTACCTTCTTGATGTGGACTTTTTGGATTGTAGGTGCACTGGTGGCCACTCTCATGTGCGGATCGAAGGTGCCTACACAAAGCCCTCTGCAGTCTATGTTGATGGTTTGGCGCTCCACGTTGCCCTTGCCTTCAGAAAAGCCCTCCGGTTGGAAAAAGCCCGTGAACTCCTTGAGCCCGAAGTCTCAGGTCATGAGTCTGTCATGTCTAATGACCTTATGCTGTCGTCCAAGTGGGAAACTGTCCGGTCTTGGTTTTGGAAAAGAAAAGGCCACATCAATGTGCTGGAGATGTCATCCGCCGTGTCCAACCTTGCCTCAGTCGGTCGGTCTGCCTCTTCTGTCCGGTTTTGTTGCTGTGTGGACTCGGCAGTCTGTAAAGGAGCCTTCAGCAAGGGGAGGTCTGCCTCTCGTGCCCTTCAACCGTTGCTCAAACGGGCTTGTGCCTTATGTGTTTGCAGTGACTTGTACCCAGGTTGGATTTACACCCCAACTCGCCTCAACTGTGCTGATGACCCTACGCGTGACTGCCCTCTGCGTGGTCCCCTTGGCCACTCCCTTCTTGAGTCTGGTGTGTCCTTTGAACTCCTGCTGAAGCTGAACCTCCTTGGCTTGAAAAAGTTTGCGGCAAATTGGGTGCGACTTGTCTTGCTCGTCAGCCTGTGGGAGCCTGCGACTGCCGCCGACTCTGGAGTCTCAGTTCCTGTTTGGTGTCATCCCTGGACTTTGCCCTTTAGCACCTTTGTGGATTTTCCCGGTGCTCTCGCCCTTTGGTTTTGCAGTGTCGTTGCTTCCCTCAGGTCCTATCTGCTTGTGCGCCCCTGGGAGTTTTTGCCATGGACTTCTTCCCATAGCACCACCTTGGACTTGCCAGGTGCCTCTCTTGGTTGGTGTCTCTGTCTCGCCCTTGGTGCCCTCTTTCTTCTGGCTTGGTGTGCTGGCGTGCCCCGTTTGCCTTGCGTTCATGGACTTCCGTCTGCGGCTGGGTGCAATAATAATTTAACCCCCAAAAGGTTAAATAAGAGGTCTAACCCTGGGCTCACTGTCGGCCCTCTTTGCCGCGGGCTGCTAGCCATGGCCATTCTCTGCCAGGTTGCGAGCGGAATGCCACTTGCCCCAATGACAGCAGCTGAGCGGGACAGAGCTTCTCAACGACAGGGCAATTCGCTGATCTGCACCCGGGCAGTGCGGCCCCAAACACGTGAGAAGCGGAAACTGTATTTGGACAAGTTCAAGGAGTGGCTATGGGGCGAAAAAGGGGTCTCTTTCAAAAACCTGATGCTGGAAAAGCCCATTGATCCCGAGCGGGTCTCCGGGTTTTTGATCGAGTATGGACGTGAACTGTATTCAGCTGGCAGCGCCTACGGAATCTTCGCAGAGACGATTAACGCTGTTGTTGTCGAGCGGCCGCTGCTGAGGCGCCAATTAAATGGCGCCTGGGACCTCGCCTTCGTCTGGCTCTCTGACGAGCCGCATCAGCATCATCCTGCAATGCCCTTGAGTGTCATGGCGGCTACAGTTTCTGTAGCCCTGGCATGGGGATGGGCTCACGAAGCGGCTGTCATCTTGATGGGTTGGGCCGGAGTCTTACGAGTCGGTGAGATCCTTGCTGCAAGCAGAAAGGAGTTGGTGCTACCTTGTGACGCAGTTCCTGGCACCACCTTCGCACTGCTGATTATTCGGCAACCGAAGACACGGGGCAGAACAGCGAAGCACCAGGCAGCCAGGATAGACCAGGAGGACATCATTTCCTTTCTGACTGCCATGTACAAAAACTCGAAGCCTGAAGAGATGCTCTGGCCTTTTTCTGCGGCTACACTGCGAAAACGTTTTGGCTCATTGATGACCGCGCTCTCGCTGCCGACGAAGAAGGAACCAGACCAGGTTGTTTTTGACCTGGGCAGTTTGCGTCCTGGCGGAGCCTCCTGGATGCTGCACTCTACTGAATCACCGCAAACAGTACAGCGCAGAGGGAGATGGGCTAGCGCCAAAGTGATGGAGATCTACCTTCAAGAAGTTCTGGTGACAACCTTTACTCAAAGATTGAGGCCTCAGACACGCGAACAAATTCATTTTTATGCAAGCGGCTTTTCTTCCCTCATCCAGCAGAGCATACTTTTCCTGAATGCGGGGATACCTACGAAAGCCTGGTTTTGGCTCCTGAAAGCTGCAAGTGGACTTGAGCAGGACACTGGAAAGACGGGGTGAGTGGTCGTTTTTGACACCCAACTGCAGACAACTACTTGCAGTTTGGCTGATGCAACCTCTCAGCATGGCAGCAAAATGGAAGGGCGACTCCTTGAAATCAAGGACTCAACCTGAAATTTGTGGGGCTCAAGCCCCCGCCCCCCCATGCCCGTGCAGCTTTCAGGAGGTCGTTTTTGACACCCAACTGCAGACAACTACTTGCAGTTTGGCTGATGCAACCTCTCAACATGGCAGCAAAATGGAAGGGCGACTCCTTATATATATACGTATTGTAATATATATATAATAAATACATCTAATGGGATTGCTGGGCTGGGGCAGAAGAGAAGGATCTGGCCGTCACAAATGAAAACAGCTGGATCCAATGTCTCAACTTGCCTTCCTCTCAGATTTATGCGCTGACTGGCGATGACATGCGCCTTATATTCACTCATCAGCCTGCAGATCCAGCCCAGACCTTCAGACTGCAATTCTGACAGCACCTGACGGCACCTGCATTGTCCAACCAAGTTGACACTGTTGGAGTTGCCTGAACAGTGAAGCAAAGGTCTTCGATGGCTTGACGCTGCTTTGCATAGTTGTCTTTGTTCTAGAGATCGTTCTGTGCATGTTCGCAAAGGACCCTCAGATTTGGCAGATTTATTTCTTTCGACCAGCCTTGCTTGCTTTCCAGCTGCAGTCCAACTGATACAGTGCCAGGACGACTACTTCCTCAGCTTTTTCTTTGTCCTAGATGTTATATCCACCGTCACTCTAGTCCATCCCACAGTTAACAGTTGCACGCTGCGATTTGGACTGTGAACATTTTGACCAATGTTTCTGTGAGCATCTTGATCATCTTGGGGCTGATCAGGTCATTGACTTGACCTGGGTCAACGACAGTCTTCAGGGCAGTGAAGAGGAAACTTGATGAATTTCTTACGAATCTCCAAACAAGTTGCATTACTCAATCCTTCCCCTGACATTGACCCTTGCGGGTACCTCTTTGTCGAGGACATGTCCAACGATCGTGTGTCTGGCACTGCCAAAATCGGCACTAGAACATCACGAGTCGTTCGGGTGTTGAGGCACTGTGTCTTGCTTCCTCTCAGCTCCCAACGGGTTGAACTGCCTTTTGATCGATGACAGGCTGATCCGAATCATTAAGCTGTACAAAGCCATTTATGAAGCAAGACAGCTGCAGAAGAAGAAGGAGGCCAGTTGTGAAACAGCTCCTGAACTTACAATTATGAAACTGCATGGAGTGCAACGATTTGCCAGGAGATTGCGAAGCAAGCAACAATGGATACACAACTTTATCCAGGAAATGAGGATGATGACGACTCCTATGATGACATGGAGGCTGGACAATATGTGACTGCAAATTTCCTTTGCAATTCTCAAGACCTCAGATGCAAAAGAACATCTCAATCATCTCAGATGTTTGTCTGTGTCATAGGTGTCATAGGAGTTATAGGAGTCATAGTAGATGCCCAAACAAATGCGAGACGGGCGAGACAATGCGAAACCTCAAATAGAGAGCACACCCTTCCTGCTCAGGTGCAGCAGGCCTATCGCTGCGGTTTGCTGAACATGAACTAGACATGGCCTGTGACATAGCAAGCTTTTTAGACATTTTTAGACCGCACTCTTTGATGATCATATCATCAACTCATGTTCCTGTCAGAAATCCGTTTCTAATCATTTGCAAATCATGCTTTGCTTAATTTTGCTTACACGTTTTGATAGTGTCACGCTGATTTCAACTACTAGCTGCTCCTAATTCTGTAGGAATCGCTGATGTCGAAAAGGTCCTTGCACGTGTATCGAGACCAGCTTAGATGATTGCTGAAGTATCAAGATGGCTGAGATAGCTAGACTTGTCAACGGCTGTCCCAAGAACCCAAATCGACATCCTGCATCAATGTCCATGCCACAGGCTAGCATGACCAGGGTACCTGGCAAAGAGAGTAGAGCCTGGAACTGAGTGCTGCTTTGCAACTGGATATCAATGGATATTATATTTCTGGATATTTCTTGCGCTTGTGTAATTTGTGTCATGTCATACTCATGTATTCTACTATGCTCTTGCTATCTCTTTGCCATTGGGCTTGAACCTTTTCTGATTCCTCCTGTCTCTTTAGTCAGATTTATTGTCTCCATTTCCAAGAACTGGCTGGCCATAGGTTGGCAAGAAACTCTCAGAGAAGACCACTCGACGGGTAATTCTCCTCGTCCTGGCCTCAACTTGACCTGCAAAAGAGGAAGCATCTTTGCTGAGTGAAGATCCGGCTTTGTCTAGCGAAGTTTTTGGACAGCCGCGTCTAACAACCATGCTGGTGAAAGGTCCTAGTCATGATGTTGGTGCTCCCGTACCTCAAGGCAGCAAAAGAATCCTGCGTCTGCGGAGATAATGACACAGTGTACCTTTATATTTTGCCACTCTCTGAGTGGAGCTCTCTGGACAGAATCCTGCGTCCATTTCAAGGTGGAAGATGCTCAGCAGTTTCCAACCTCAGCGGGTTATGGTGCCGACATCATCAATGAGGTCAGGATCAGGAACAAAATGTCAAAATGTCCCTTCGGTCCACAATATCTACCCTGTTTCTGTGCCAGGCCTTCAATCAATACTTAGAAAGCCGCCTTCTAAGTTGCAGACTTCTTCTGGATCAAATAAGCAAAACCCAACAAGTCAACGAGTGATACTGGTGGTACTGTAGGGAGCATCCTTCTCCCACCTTAGAACCTGAGGTAACACCACAGAGGACAAGACCAAGTATGACAAAGCGTTGCTTCAGTGCGCCGAGAAAAAGAGAACAGAGAAAGCCGAGAAAGCTGCGGCCGTTGCCTCGCACTGCCACTTGCTACAAGGTACGTTTACTATCACAACTGGTTCACAAAGCAGCTTCCGTTTGGCACTTTGAGCTGAGCCCGTGAGAATGGTCAATTGTGTGGCCAAACATTCACCAACATCACCAGCTCAATCTTTGCTGCTTCTATGACTTAAAATGTCTTCAAATGACTTCTATGCTTTCATCCAAGGACAGGGTGTCCGTTCGATACCTCAGACTGTGCGGTCAACTTTGACTCCCATGTTTTTTGGGTTTGTCTCTTAGTTGTTTTTGAAAGCACCAGAGCATCCTGAAAAGAGCGTCCTGGGCATTTCAGCTTCAGCTGGTGGCTCTGCTTGGCACAGGTTGGATTTGTCGGAAAAAACCAGTCTGTCCTCTTAGACAGGGCTTCGAAAGCTCGGGTGGATAGCTTAGCTGGGTCGCCAATCTTTGGTGTGGAAATCTTGCAGGTTTTCAGGGGAGACAAAATAGACAAATTGGCTTGAAACCCTATCAATAAACCACCATCCATATATAGAAGATCCTTCGGTAAATGTGGTGCCCATAAATCAACATTTGGCTGAGAGTCGGTGAGCCCAGGTTGATTCCAGCTCCGTGTCAGACATGGAGACCTTGGTGACCAGCACCATGCAGTCAAAAAGCACGGCATTTGCCCCAGATATACCCAGATCGCGGTCCCATGTGGAGTGTGAAGACATTGGTGATATCTTGAAATTTTGATTGGTCATTCTTTGAGGTCAAAAGTGCTATGAGATATTCAGATATTCTGAGATATTCTACGACATAAGATTAAGTGATTCAAGTGATCATACGGTGATAGATTTGACATGTCTCGACATGTCCTGATCAATCTGTCCAGGCCTGGATCTACATTTTCGGGCACATGCCAGCGAAGGCACGGCGAAATCAGTTGCACCCAAGCGTTTTTTGCAACTTTGACGATGGAAAAAGGTCTTGCTGACTTATCACATATCGATACATATCGCTCAGTTTCCATCAAAATTGATGACATATTAAAATATACCAACTTGCAATTATTGCAAATGTTACCGGATAACTGCGATATTGATATAGTATGATATAGTATAACAATGTACAACAAAGTTATAGGTGAAAGGTATCCATCGTATGTTGTTGGATATTCTGCATACCCATGCTACATATGAGGGTCGGCTCTATACTCTATACCAAATCCATGTTACTGTTCTTGTGCTATGGCCCTCAGTGCTGCGGTGTATTTGTTTGCCACGGCAGGTGCAAACGATTTTGAGTCTCAGTGCTATTCTCAGCTCTGAAGAGCAACATACCAAATACACCCCATATGTGTAAATATCTACATATTTATATCATATTATTCTTCATATCCAGGTATGAAGTACAACTATCACAAAACATGGTTTCTATGATGCCAAGGCTGGAGCAACAATTGTCCATTGCAAAGCGACTCGTTTGTGCCTCAAGGATCTGATTAGCAACAACTTGGAGGTTTGTAGTGTCGGTGTGACACAACATGTCAATGGAATGAGGTCAGACAGAAAGAGACGAGGAATCTCCATACTGGAAGAGACCTTCACAGAGGATCCTTGGAATGTCCGCCGTGGCAAGTTTTAAAGCATCCAAATGACTGGAAACAACTTGCCACAGACTGTCCATGTTTTCTCACAGAAAGGCTTCCCGCAGAATCCCGTCAACTTGACAGGTGGACTATGCTGTCCCATGCCCTGAGAACTTGCGGAGGGCTGTGAAAACCTGAGGTCACCTTCAGCAGACAGTATATATATATATGTATGTAATCCGCTCACTCTACCATTGGACTATTGCACA